TGGAATCCTAGTTCGTATGGTGACATTAAAGAAATTCATTTAGCCGATCATGAAGTTTGGCAACCTGATGTGTTTCCATACAACAGGTAATGAAAATTGCAAATAATTTTTTGTTTTCTCGTTTGATTACTTAAAATTAATCGAAAGTATACATCAGTGCGACAGGCAGTACAATAGATCATTATGGCAACACTAATCTCATTGCATATTTCAATGGAACTGTTATTTGGGTTCCTCCATCCATATTTCAAGTTTTTTGTCAAATGGATTTTACAAATTGGCCATTCGATAGTCAAACATGTTCACTTAAAATTGGATCATGGACTTATAATGGCGAACAAGTTGATTTGTTTAATTCGAATCACATGCAAACAGTTTACAAAGTAAGCATGACAATTTTATAAAACAATCAAACACTTCGATGTGAATCTTTAGTATCTTTGTTTAAAATAGACATTAATTAAAAGAGAAAGAGGGAGAGAATGAGAATGAGAATGAGTGAGTGAGAAAGAGAGAGAGAATGAGAATGAGAATGAGTGAGTGAGAAAGAGAGAGAGAGAATGAGAATGAGAATGAGTGAGTGAGAAAGAGAGAGAGAGAATGAGAATGAGAATGAGTGAGTGAGAAAGAGAGAGAGAGAATGAGAATGAGTGAGTGAGAAAGAAAGAGAGAGAGAGAATAAGAATGAGAATGAGAATGAGAATGAGTGAGTAAGAAAGAGAGAGAGTGAGAGTGAGAGAGAGGGACAGAAAACTTTAAAAATTAATTTTTAATTTTACAGTTACCAAATTTAGTACCCAATTCGGAATGGGAATTTGTTAAAATGACAGTTAAAAGGAATTCAGTTTATTATCCCTGTTGTCCGATTCCATATACGGACGTTACATTCGAACTCACGATTCAACGACATTCTGCAACTTATAAAGCTCTTATCATTACGCCAGTTTCCGGTAAATGAAAACATGTTTTACAAAAAAAATACAATTTTGTTTTTTCTTTTTAAATTTACAAGCACAATTGATTTTAATTAATTAAATTTTTTTTTTT